GGAGAGCGCCTCAACCAAGTCCATGTGAGGCCCCCTTTGATTGTCTTGTAAGCCTATATGGAAGAAGTCCATCTGTTTTCCCAACCCCCTAGACGACCCAGCTGTCTGGCTTCATTGGAAGGGAGTGGATGCTGATAATTTTCAGCTATTAAATTACCATTGCAAACGTATAATAATCTTCCGCCATGATCGCCTACGTGACCTCCTACTCAGCGTGTTTCCTCCATAAATCATCATGTGCAAGAGCTCCCGTACACATCACGTGGACAATCAAAAGTGTTTTGTTTTTTTGCCACTGATTAAAATAGATTGTGATTTAATTCACGGTATTTTTTGCCCAAATCAGATTCGATTGTAATTTTGGGTCTCTCATATTTCGAAATTCAATTCATTTCCGACCATGGAAATCTGCGATGGGTGTCACTTCAATTATATAGAGTTGATTGTAAGGTTTGGGGAAAAAAAACGAACAAGCTACAGCATTTTTTAGATCTCATGGTGTTTTCCCGACCTCAGTAAAGTGTCCTAAGTGTAAGAACGAGTGTAAATATCGTCAAGACCAAGATAGTTGGCATCAGCGTCAGCCACCTGTACTGATCTCAGAATCCGACGACGAACCAGAACCAGGCCAATAAGGTAAGAAATAAGTGATTCCATCATATGGTGAGAGTTAGGTTAGGTTAGGTCAAGTCATGTCAGGTCAGGTCAGGTCAGGTTAGTTTAGTTTAGGTCATCCCAAAAAAAGGTTTGGCTTATATGTTTTTCTAGTGCTTTGGGTGTATTTTGTATTCACTTGGCCATGATTTTTGTCAGAAAATGCCCCACCCAAAACTCCCGATAAATAAAAACAGGCAATTTCCGACAAAAATCAAGGTCAAAACCAATCAAAACGCACAAAAATACACTAGAAAAAACATAGTGTTGATTTTCTAACAGAGTTGTGTGAGCTACTGCAAATTTACTGAAATATGCTTTTTCTTATAGTTTTTGATGAGTTTTTAAAATTTTTTGGTAAAGGTGTAGAAGAGGGTGACCACCAGAAGGAATTGTCCGAATTGGCTGAAATTTGTTCTACACACTAATATCATGATACTAAACACAAAAATGGAAACGACAACGCATAGAACCTGACCTAACATACCCATAGGTTGGGTATGTTACGTCAAGGTCTATTAGGTTCTATGCATTGTCGTTTCCATTTTTGTGCATACTAGTGTGGAAAAAATTTTGGTAAAGGTGTAGAAGAGGGTGACCACCAGAAGTTGTTTGCTGATTTTCTTTATTTTTGCTGTACTTGTTGCTTTGATGATTTTAAGTAAATTAAAAGAAAGGACAACTTTCTATTATGATTTTAAGTATTTTTTAGCATTATTTTTTTACTTACTCTATCCCGCTTCACAATTCTCCTCCCGGCGCCATTTTTGTTGTTTATCTCGCTGAATCCCTTTTCAAGAGACGTTTCCTAAATGATGGTGAACTCTTCCACATATTCCTCCTTGCCAATGCTGATGTATATCAACCTCAATATTAAGGTAAGTTGCTTAACACATAAATTAACACGATAATGCATAGAACCTGACCTGACAAACCCATAGACTGGGTATGTTAGGTCAGGTTCTATTAGGTTCTATGCATTGTCGTTTCCATTTTTGTGTTTAATATCACATTAGGGCGTAGAAAAAATTTCAACCAATTCGGACAATTCCTTCTGGTGGTCAACCTCTTCTACACTTTTACTAAAATTTCAACCAATTCGGACAATTTCTTCTGGTGGTCATCCTCTTCTACACCTTTACCCGATTTTTGCTTTGTTCTCCATTGAAAATCACCTGTTTCTGCAATTTATCCAACAAAAATCTCCAATATCCCAACACCTTCCCGTGTTGGGGGAAGGGAAGGGGAAGGGGGGAGTATCTAAAAAAACGACTGATTTCCGGCGGAAATGAGTATCAAATTCATTCGAAACTCATCAAAAACCACAGGAAAAACATATTTTGGTTAATATATAGGACTAACCCGCCAGGGCTGCATAGCGCCGATGAGGCCATACCATAAACTGAGCGGAATACAGAAACAATTTGGATTGAATTAATCGACGGTAGGGAAAAATTAATCACAGGAGTAATATATAGACCTCCCAATCTTGATAGAGTTAATCAGCGACTTATTTGGGATGAAATGCGCAGGGCTTCCATACACAGCAAAGTCTGTATAGTAGGCGACTTTAACTTTAGCCAAATAGATTGGATTGACCTTACGGGTAACTCAGAATCAGAGGATTTTCTTGAAACAATCCAGGACTGTTTGGTAAGTCAACATATAACCGAACCCACCTGGGGTAATAATATACTCGATTTAGTTCTGTCGAACAGAGAAAACCTCATTAGTAATGTTGAGGTAGGGAACGAACTTGCAAACAGCGATCACAAAGAAATTAGATTCCAGTTAGATTTTCAGGGCAGCCATAAGGAAAATACCACGAAAGTCCCAGATTTCAGAAGGGCAAACTTTGATAGTTTGAAGAGGCAGCTGAGAGAAGGGGTATCCACTTGGGGGTGAACTACATGACCTCACATGATGTGACCTACAATGTACCCACAGCGGGCGACCTCACCCTACCTGGAGACCTGACGGTTGAGATTGACCTGATAACGAGATCTGAGGTTGCCGAGTTCCACGACAATTTAAATAATGAGTTACTTAATGCACAAAGGCAGAATATATACAAAAAACTTAGGTCAAACAACAATGACCCTAAATGGATAAATAATTATTTAAAGAACATTATTGGTCAAAGGAAGGCTATAGGTAGGAGGATAAATTGTGGCGAAGTTTACCTCCGAGATTATTATAAGGTATTGGCTGGTAGGGTTAAGACCGAGATAAGAAAAGCAAAGAGGAATAATGAGCTGAGGATAGCAAGGGAGGCGAAGTCAAACCCCAAGGGATTCTATCAAATGTATCAAACTAAAACATGAGAAAAGATTGGACCAATACTGTCAGATACCGGCGAGCTAACTGATAACGACGGAGAAATGAGCAATAATCTGAATAAATATTTTTCAACAGTTTTCACCACCGAAAATTTAAACATGATACCCGAGGCACCGACTCTAATCAGAGATAGTGAAGAAAACAAATTAAGCGTGATAGTAGTGACTAGTAACGATGTTAGTAAGCAAATAGACAAACTAAAGCCTAATAAGTCACCTGGTCCCGATGAGATATTTGCCAGAGTATTAAAGGAACGTAAGGAAGAACTTAGTATGCCCTTAGCAAAGTTGTTTAACATGTCCTTAAATACAGGTGTAGTACCAGAATCCTGGAGGATAGCGAATGTAATACCGATTTTCAAGAAGGGAGATAGATCACTATCCTCTAACTACCGTCCAATCAGTCTAACATCAATTGTAGGCAAATTACTGGAAGCAATCATTTCAAACTCTATTCGAAATCACCTGGAGAAGGACAAGTTGATCAATGATTCCCAGCATGGCTTCACAAGCGGGCGTTCATGTCTAACTAATCTATTAACATTCTTTTCATCAGTTTTCAAATCGGTGGACGAGGGGCACAATTATGATGTGGTATATCTCGACTTAAGCAAAGCGTTCAACAAAGTCCCCCACGAAAGACTAATAAGAAAAGTAGAGGCTCATGGCATTAAAGGTGATATTCTAAAATGGATTAGGGTGTGGTTACAAGACAGGAAACAGCGAGTGAGCATTAACGGCACTAAATCCCATTGGAGCAACGTCGCTAGTGGAGTTCCCCAAGGCTCAGTACTTGGACCATTATTATTTATTATCTACATAAACGACATAGATATCGGCATAGACAGCAACATAAGTAAATTTGCTGATGACACTAAAATAGGACGTGTAATTAAATCTGACGAGGACTCCGCAAAACTACAGGAAGATCTAAACAAATTTTTCGAATGATCTGAAAAATGGCAGATGAAATTCAATGTGGACAAATGTAAAGTACTCAGTATAGGAGATGTAAACAAGGAAACCAGATACCAGATGAACAACGATGCCATAGAGAAATCCGACTGCGAGAGAGATTTAGGAGTAATGATAAGTAGGAATCTTAAACGAAGTAAACAATGTGTTTTTGCTCGAAACATGGCTAATAAAGTACTTGGGTTCATACAAAGGAGTGTTAGTTACAAGACTAGCGAGGTCATCTTAAGACTAAATCTTGCGCTTGTGAGACCTCACTTGGATTACGCAGTTCAATTCTGGTCACCGTATTACAGAATAGATATAGTATCCTTGGAAAGAATTCAGAGGAGAATGACAAGACTAATCCCGGGCATTAAGAACCTTGAGTACAGAGACAGGTTAAAGCATCATAATTTGCGCTTCCTCGAGAGACGTAGAGCGAGAGGCGACATGATAGAGGTGTATAAATGGAAATCAGGGCTAAACAAAGGGAACATTACAAAGTTACTCAAACTATCCAACCAGGAGCGAACTTGTAGCAATGGTTTTAAATTAGACAAATTTAGATTTAGGCGCGAAATAGGTAAACATTGGTTTGGAAATAGAGTAGTGGATGAGTGGAACAAGTTACCAAATATCATCATTAACACGAATACGCTGGATAGCTTCAAACATAGGTTGGATGCTTATATGAGCAATAGGGGTTGGGTGTAAATGGGACTGCCTAGTATGGGCCAATAGGCCCGCTGCAGTTTCCTCCATTCTTATGTTCTTATGTCCAGAAAATGCCTAAAATTTCACCATATCATAGCAAGTTCTTTCTGTTTAATATACCAGGGAAGTTAGGTATGGTTAGGTAGGTTTATTTGGTTTGGTTGGTTAGGTCTGTTCTTCATACCCAAAAATGTTAGGTAGCGTTATTTAAAAAATATCCATTTTTTAACATATTTCCCCAAACTACAACAGTGTCCACTATAATATAACAATGAGAATCCGGCGTTTTTATAATTTTCAATCAATTTCGCTCGCGAGTTAGTCATATATAATTACCAATATTCTTGTTCGGCGTGTACTAATAGTTTTCTCCATGGATGTTCAGTAAACAATACTTAAGACAGTCAAGGACCACCTACCACGGTGATGCTCGATCATTTGTTTACGTTCGTGTAGTTGGGGTGGATTATCCCGGGTCAGTGAAGAACGACGCGCACCTACAGTGATTTACACACACACACATACACACATATGTTGATGATGTATTATGTCTCTGGCCATGTAATGAGGACCTAAAAGCTTTCCTGCCACAACTTAACAACTTAGCTCCCTCGATAAAATTCACTGTGGAATTAGAGCATGACTGTAAATTGCCATTCCTAGACTGTCTGATACACAGAATAGGTAACACTTTTAAGTTCAGTATTTATAGAAAACCTACTAATGTGTGTTCATACATTCATTATTATTCTGCCCACCATAATAGAGTCAAACAGTCAGTATTTTCAACACTGTTTTTACGTGCTTTGAGAATTTGCAGCCCGGAATTCATTGATGAGGAATATAAATATATCTATAATATTGGCTCAAACCTTAAATACCCTAGATCAGGGGTTCTCAACCAGGGGGGGGGGGGATTCAGATTTTCAGGGGGGGGGAAACTGATTCGGGAGCAAGAGATATGTTCGATGAGAAATCAATCACAGAATTTTGGCCCTTGATGTGCGATTCCTACCCAAAAGTGGCAGAAAGAGCTGTCCGTGCATTGCTTCCGTTTGTGTCGACATATCTTTGTGAGTCAGGCTTTTCAACTCTGTTGCAAATTAAAACGAAGAAACGTAGTAGATTAGAGGTAGAAAATGACCTGCGTTGTGCCCTTTCAAGCACTCCTCCGCGTATCCCAGAATTGGCGAAGAAAAAACAATCACAGGTTTCTCATTGACTGTAATCTTCATCTGAATAAAATTAATTACAAATTTACAATAACTTGGTATTCTATTGAACTTTTTGTTTATTGCATTATGCTTCAGTGTGGTCTGTTAAGTAATTCATTATAAAAAAAAAACTATTTTACTTTTATTCAAGTTTTATAAATCCATCATTTTCAATTGGCATTTAATTTGTAAAACTCCACTATAAAAATAATCCATGTAAAATTGTAAATGTATATGTACTAATATGGAAAAAATAAAGGATTTTCAGTATTATATGCATATTATTTGGAATGCACTTTTTGAGGCAGACAATCTTGGAAAGGAGGGGGGAATGACATTCTGACATAATAATAATAATAATAATAATAATTAACGGTTTATTGAAAGAGCTTGGCAGCCAGAAGGCTGAAAATATACAGTTACATATTTGGGGAGTGGGTTACGAATTACAAATAATATACAAGTAACATAAGTGACACAAATAAGACATATAGTAACTTAGATGGGGATCAGCTCAAACTGTGATTGTTTTTTCTTCGCCAATTCTGGGATACGCGGAGGAGTGCTTGAAAGGGCACAACTGCCCTAGATCTTTCATAGACAAATGCCTGAACATTATTAAGAAATCTTTTTATAGAACTGATCCCAAGCCTACCCATGACCATAAGAATCTCTTAGTATTACCATTTCACAAAAATTTCTCTCAAATTCCTTTACAACTTAAAACCTGGAACGTCAATGTGGCATTTAAAAACTCAAGCATTGTTAAACAAATGTTAATCAAGAACTCCCCCAACACCATAATTGGTTGCATTTATAAAGTTCCTTGCAAGGAATGTAATATGTTTTACTTAGGCCAGACAGGTAAAGATCTTGTAACTAGACTTAAACAACATAAATATAGTGTTAGGACAGGCCAGGAATCCAATGCTCTGTTTGTTCATTTGAGGGATAACAAGCATTGCATTGACTGGGATAATGCCTCCTCAATATTACCTTGTAATTCAATTGACAGTAGGAACATCATAGAATCTAGTCTCATTAAACATACCGAAGCATTCAACATGAATTTGAGTAATGGCATGTACAAACTGGACAATTTTGTAATTAAGAAGATTTGTAACCAGGTGAGAAGGTTGGGTCACCTTACCCTCTGACCTGACTACCGACCGTTGCGGTGCTATTTAAAGATTAGTAGGGTCATTACCTAATACCTGACCATTGTGGACCTGATCTCACCCTCCTCTGTATATATACACCTTGTTTTGTAATTCTCCTTAGTCTGTACCCACCCCTGAAGATGGGAATTACACGAAAGCGCTTGGGAACTTCGTGTTTTCTTCTTTCCTTGTGGTTATCAGCATATATATATATATATATATATATATATATATATATATATATATATATATATATATATATATATATATATATATATATATATATATATATATATATATATATATATATATGCTGATATATATAAACAATACCTCACTAATCGGGAATCGAACCCTGGGCCTCTAGGCAGCTACCATACAGGGAAGTATTACCGCCTGGGAATATATTGGAAGCATTTTTTTTTTGTAGGGAAAGGAGGAATGAAGAAAGATTAGAGGTGGGGAAAGGAAGTTATAGTTTGGAAATTGAAGAAAATTAGGAGGAGGTAAGAGAGGGCGGGCTGACTGCCTAGCTAAGCTAATAGTGTGTTTGGGTTGTGTCATGGGTTAGTTATTGTCTGCCTGTACAGGCACTAGACAGCCTACCCTGTCCCATTTATGGGTGTTTTAAGGGCCTTATTTCATATTCCGCCGACCCTACTGGCGGATGCTGGTCTAAGGGGATTGTCTATTGCCTGGCCGTGTTGATCGGGGGTGGTAATGGACCTTTAGGGATTTTGTAGCTTTTTGGGAACCATGTATGGTTGTTGTCGTTATCTGGTGGGAGTCTTTGAAGGAGTTCTTGCTCTGATCGTTCTATCTTTTGCCAGATTCTGCTGGCCAAGGTGTGCAACTGCTGGTTGATGGGTTTTATTCTCAGGTCTCTATGTATCTCGGCTGTGGTTCTGGTGAAGGGTATCTTTCACCTGTGACGAATCTTAGGGCTTCATTTTGGACCACCTGTAATTTTAATATTTGAGTGGTGCTCAAAGTATGAAGAGGTATTGTTGGGTAAGTTAATATCGGTGTGATAAATGATGTCACCAAGCGGAGTTTTATTTTCTCAGGAAGCGCTTTAAAGCGGTATAGTTTTGTCTGATGGTAGACCATAGACCCTGCTGCCTTATGGCATCACGAAAATTGTGACCAAGTCCCAGGTTACTGATCTGACTTTCTGTTTCATTTACACACAATTACACTTTTGTTGATATTGTTATTATTATGTTTATTATTTAATTTTATTTTCAATTTTTTAATTTATTTTTTAGAAAATTTATTTGCTATGGATTATTATTAATATTATTATTGCATCCCCCTCCCCCCCCCCTCCCCCCGGGGCCGCGATGTGGGTCAGTGACCTTCCGTCCGGGTGGGCTAATTCCCGTAAAAAAAAAAGTGAACAGGGATCGCTACCACCGCGCTGGATTCGATAAAATGCTACTTTGACCACATAATTTTTTTTAAATTTTTTTTTATTTTTTTATTTTTTTTACGGGGAATAGCCCACCCGGGCACAAATCATTGACCCACAGCGGGGCCCAGGGGGCAAAAAAATGAAGAGTACAAAGAAATTAAAAATAGAAAAGTAAAAGATTATATTAATTTACACCACGAAGATGCCGGAAAACCAGCTTCTTAAAGTGAGACATTGCATGAGCATGGAAACACAGAAGGCAGAGCATTCCACAGTTTGGATGTGTGAGGAAAGAAGGATGCACTATAGGGGGCAGTGAAATTTTGCTCAAAGCTGCACTCTTCAGGCATTGTTCCTTATACATATCTAAGACTCCATGCCAAATTTGAAGCTGATATGTCGAGGTTTAGTCTGCCGCATTTTCTACTGAAATTTTTAAATTTACCTACAGTACTAGCCAAACAGCCGCTGTGGCGGTGCAATGTTCTGTTCAGTGTTTATCAACTTTTTTTCATATCTCTTATTTCATTTAAGTTGTCTTGTTGCAGATGAGTATGGTGCTATGTCTATATTGATTATCAGCCTTTTCTCATTTCATTTCTCAATGTTGTGTTACTGTACTGTAATGTAGGGGAGACCTGGGTAAGTTGCCGCTTGTGACCGATACTTGATTAGTGATTATGCTGGAGCTGCCATTGCTACTGCCACCTTAACTGACTATGGCATTATCACAAAGGATGACAAGAGTCAGGTTATTGGACCACATAAGCTGCGGGATGCGAGACAAAAATACCGATTTAAGAGGCAAGAAATTGAGATGGCTAGTTTAGATAATTTGACGTCACTCTATTTTGATGGTAAGAAGACCGCCACTCGTGTGATGATAAAGAATGAGAAGACCGAGAAATGGAGTTCGAGGATGATGGTGAAAGATCATTATGTCATCATGGTTGAGCCTGGCAATGAATATCTCACACATGTGACTCCCAAGACTGGACACGGAAAGCAGATTGCCAAAACTATTCACGAGTTTTCTGGTGGAGAAAAATCTAACCCAGCAGCCCATTGTGTGTGTTGGTTGTGATGGAACCAATGTAAATGTAGGATCAGAAAATGGAGTTATTCATCATCTTGAAATGTTACTTGGTCACCCGCTCCATTATTTCATATGTCAGCTTCACGGAAATGAGCTGCCTTTCCGCGCAGTTTTTTATCACTATGATGGTAAACCAAGTGGTCCTGAGCATTGGCGTGGTCCCATTGGAAAGCAGATCAAGGAGTCTTTGTCTGAGCTTCCAGTTGTCGCCTTCCAGCCAGTCAGTTTCCCTGATTTCCCTGTGTTTAATGATGAAGTGGAGAAAGATCTGTCCTGGGATCAGAAATACCTGTATAGGATTTGTAAAGGAGTTATCACAGGTGTTGTTGAAGATGACTTGGCTGCTATTGAGCCAGGTCCTCCCTGTGTGTCAAGGTGGAACACCTTATGGAGTAGAATCCTCAGGCTGTATGTAGCAACATCAAGACCCAGCCATGAGTTGAAAAGAATTGTCATTACAATAATAAAGTTCAGTGCTCCAATGTGGTTTTACATCAAGATACACCCTTACGTAACACACGGCTCAAGGAACGTATTCCAGTCCCTGCTATATATGAAACACCTGAATAGT